AAAACAAAGAACAAAACCACCTCCAAAACAGAACTGTGGTTACTGGCAGTAGATGCGGTCCTGGCACACAAACATCTCGAGATCTGATGTGTATCTCAAAGTTCATTAACACAAAGAAGCCTTTTGGTCTTTAACACAAATAAGAAATAGCATTAAATAAGTTGAGGGCCACAGAATTAGGAGGTCTGGGAGATCGCTGTGACAGGACTTACTTTCCAGAAGTGCTCTGGCAGTTTTCTTATGATGATATATCAAATTTGTTACTCAAACAGCTTCAGTAATTTTAGTACATTTTGGTCTGCATGTATGTACTTTTTAGTAGGAATATTAATTCCTGTGAAATATGAATATCTTTCCCTTCTATTTCTGAATGCTTTCCACTCTCTTGCAGTCTCCTTTAAGTGCAAACCACCTGGACACAAAGATGAATAGGTGTTTCTTTTTGGTAAAGGAAGAGTTATTGTAAAATTCATGGTTCAGAAAGTCCAAACGAACTGTTGCTCTACCATGGCATCTCTTCATTCTTTGTGATTATGTTGTATCATAAGAGAGCTGACAGCACAAAATGAAGCCTGTCAATAGGCAGACTGGAAGGAGATTGTTAATTAGGTATCCTTGAACATATTTCTCCACTAGGAGTCTGAGAATAAAGTTACCTATTCTGTATCTAGTCTGTCACTTTACATAGCATGATGTGATGGAAATATTTTTAAATGATGCTTCCTTTTTTGCAGGCCAGTTAGGCTTGGAATTACTGCCCTTGGTTCCCCACAGCTGAGATTGTAATACTAGTTACTGTTTGCAACTTTACAGTTGAATGTGGTTGTAAATGGATTCATCTTAATGTATGTGCAAGCGCTTCCATCTTAAAATGCAATTGCTATGTTCCTTTCTTAATACTAGGACAGCTTTGCTGAAAGTTTACTCAAAGCAGTATGGAAGAATTGAGCAACAGGAAGCTCAGTATAATACTTAATATTGTTAAACAAACAGCAGCATTGGAGTTCAAATCTCTTTTTCAGCAGTAATATGAAATGTTGGCATGAAGTACAGGACAGACAACAGAAGATATCTAGAAATAAACATGGACCCTGTATTACAAACTTACATATTAACTCCAGGGGACCAGTAGTGTTCTTGCTAACACTGCACAATGCTGCAGGGGAAAATTCCAGATAGCTTTCAAGATGCAACAGTAAATATTGAGACCTTTTCTTGTGCTAAATTTCAACAAAACAGAAAAGACTTTTATCTCCCAGTCCTTACTGCCTTTTCTTCAGACTGCTTTGATATACCCTTAGAACATTCCCAGAGCTGGTCTAAGGCATGATTTATCACTATCACATTTTTTCAGCACTGTGACTTGGGCAATGTTCCCAGTCTGGTTGCATTTCCCATTCACTTTATGGTTGTCAACAATACACCTAATTACGTGTTTATATCTCACTGAGTGCCTTTATTGCTAAACTGGGCCTTGATCCTTTACATCACTAACAACAACAACAAAAAAAGCTATTTTTCATGTGCAAACACATCAGGAGCAGATTTGGGAAAGTGAAAAGTTTCTTCTTGTTGTTGCTGTTGTTTTTCAGAAGCAGCAGCTTGTATAAATTCCATTGTATCAAGCTATAATGTAAAGTCATCTAGCTTTTAAGCAGTTTTTCATGGAGCACAGAATGGTCTTTTTGAGAGACAGGATGCATTGATGCATTGTGTTAACATGTTTCTTATTAAAATTACGTGGAAATATCTTTGTCTTAGATATGTCATTAGATTTATTTTGGATACATTTAAAAACTCAAGTTCAGAAACAAGGTTTTTGTTGTTTTGTTTTGGTTTTGATTTTGTAAAACCTCCAGAAATCTCAAAATTGAATTACTCTAACTCCCAGCAGGAATACTATAGCATTGCAGTAGAACGGCTCGCATCAGGAGAAGAAAAAAAAAAAAAAAAGGAGAGAGAGAGAGTAGAAGACTAAGGAGGTATTAGAAGACCTTGCTCTGAGCTATACCAGTTACTTGCTACCAGAAGCAGTGAGTTGCGAGGCAGAGCACGACCTCCAGTAATGCACTGAGAATAGGTAGGGGGACTGAAATCCAGCAACTGGAGGGAGAAACTCCTTAAAAGCAGTAGCCCCCTCTCAGAGTGAGCTTGTACTGGTGCTTTGCAACCCAGAGCAGAGGGGCAGCAGCAGGAGAGCTCCCCGGGACAGCCCAGGGAAGTGGTTGAGTCACCATCCCTGGAAGTCTTCAAAAATGTGTAGATATTGAATTTAGTAAGGTGGTTTAGTGGTGGACTCATCAGTTCTAGGTTAAGGGTTGGTTGGGATGATCTTAGAATGGAAAAGACCTCTAAGATTCTGTTCTATGGTTCTGTGATAGATTCTATTCTATGGTTCTATGATCTGGAAATCCATTCACTTTTTAGCCTCTTGGAGAGAGTATGTTAGTTACTACAATTCTACAATTTTTTCCTTTTTTTTTTTTTCCCACTAGACCTTCCATTTTAAGAATCTTGAACATTAAGCCTTAAAATTACTAGAGCCTCTCCTAATTTGTTTTTGTTTGTTTGTTTTCCCTTTTCTAATAGTCTTGGTGGAATAAGATTTTAAGGCTTTGTCGTCTCTTCTCCATCTCAGCTCCGCCTAACCAAGTGTTGTCTGCACTGGGTGTATATATTCATATTCATGCATATTTTGTAATAACAGAAGAAGAGCATTTTACCGAACTAACACAAGCAGCACTGAGGTCATGGGACAGGAGTAGAATGATCAGAAGAAATGAGAGGACATGATGGGGGGACTGGAAGAAGATTTGGAAAGGAGGAAGGCCAACAGGTACTGGTTGCCAGAAACTTGAAAGCTAATTAATTTCAACTCTGTATTTGACTTGAAATTACTAACTGTTTACATTTCAAGTTAAGAGAAGGGTCTACCTAACCAGAGCATTTTAAGTATATAGATAGATAGGCAGGGCAATTACTGTCAGAGATCATATCTGTGCTGCATCTGATAGTGGCCCAAATAAGGTACTTTGGGAAAAGTACAATGGCATGACATAATCTAGTCTCACTGAAATTTATATGTAAATATGGCTAAATTGAATGAAACTCACTGGCAACAACAACAGGGTTTTGAACTCAGGAGAGAATTAGAACACAGGTTACACCACTATGAAGATATCTCACTTCTAGGAGGAGGAGATAACGAATCAACCAGACAGGCAAGCCTTTTGTGATGTTAGTGGGAATTAGGTAGTGACAACTGGGGATCAGGAAGGATGAGGAAAGCATCCTGGGTAGTGAAAGCAGAAGGATGGAAAGTTACAGAAGAGGGGCGTGCTTTTCATGCTCTAAGATGTTGGTCAGTCTTTGCCTGTCCCTCAAGTTATCATTATCAGCAGATCATACACAGTTGAAATTTAAAGAAATTTAAAGTTCTTCTTGGATGGCTATATAATCATTTTAACAACTTCTTTCAAGCTGATGAGTGTCTCCTCCAGATGAAATTTATCCAGCTCTTGTTAATTAAAACTTAAATAATTACCTGCAATAAATAAGAATACTTCCTTACGTTCTGTATTAAAGAGGCTGAGGGACAGACTAATGTCAATGGTGTAACCATTTATTTCTGGCTGTTCAAACTACTCAGAGTGAATGATATGGAGGAGTTCAGCTCTCTTGTGTACTCTTCCCCAGCTCCCAATGCTAAAAAAAAAGTTGAAATCAGCGGGTGTACATTATACGATTTCCTGCTGTGGAACTGCATCACTTTGCACTCAGTAGGGATCAAGCCTTATGCTTGATATTTTTTGAAGCTTCTCACTGAATATTCTGGAAAAATAGTTTAAGCTTTATACCATGCCCAGGCACTCCATGCAAATGTCACAATTCTTCCTGTACCCGATCTCCTAAATTACTGACTAATTAAAAGAGGAGAGCGGTGCGTAGCAAAGAGAATAGTCTTTGAAGGATGACAGGGTAAATGAACATTCATTGGAAAAATTATCAAATGACAGCTCTTACAAATGTTTACAGATGTATTTGGCAATTTTGTGGATCCTGATGAGTAGCAGTACCCCATAAAACCAGAATGGGATCTACCAAATCAGGTGCTCAAACAGCCCTTTTGCTGTTTTAGCAGCCCTCCTTTTGTTACCCTAAGCCTATGTCCAGAAATCTGGGGTGAGGTGAAGTCTTACACAGAATAAAATTGTCATTTCCAACTTACTGACATAGGTTTATTGTCCACATGAAATTGTTCTACCCTGGAGCTACATATATTGTGAGATTCAGATTCCTTGGTTTCAAACTTTTACTCTGTTTCTTCAAGAATTCAGAAGCCAATTAAAATTGGAGATGCTGTTTACTGGTACGTTTGCACTAATTGTTATATTTTACCAATATGGAATTTTTATTCCAAATGAAAGGCTAGATTCACTTGTGTGCTTTGTGCCATTCCTAGGTGGGAAACACCAGTATTTCCTTCTTAAACATTCAATTTGTTTCTGTCCCTGAAGGACTGAAAGCATATAGCCTGTCCTAAAGAGATTGCCATCTCGTCTTTGTAAGGGGATTTTAAATTAAAACTCTGTAATTTTAAATGAGTATGTGAACTCAGTCCTATCTAGGTGAATTATTACTGTACAGTACCAACTTGCTGCACTTTTGAGCAAATAGTAGCAAAGAAGAAGCACGGCTATAGGATTAGACGATGACATTTTGATCTGATGCCTTGAACTCCTTGTTTGTAATTTGATAAGGAAATTTACGCAAAACTTTATCTGTTTGGATGCTGGAAGGTTCAACCTTTTCAGGACAAAAAGGTCCAGTGTAAAACATAACGAACAAATAATATCAAATTCATTTTTGGCAAGGACATTGCAAGTTTTGTAATCTTCTTCAGACCAAATGGAAATCTCCAAATGCCAGCTCTATGGTTAATATTTTACAGAAACAGGTAGTAAAGAGGTATATAAGAAAATGCTTTCCCTTCAATCTTCCTAGCATTTCTGAATAATTTAGCCCACATCATAATCTGCAACCATGAAGTGGGTAACATTAATTTCATTTATTTTCCTCTTTAGTTCAGCAACATCCAGGAATCTGCAAAGAGTTGCTCGAGATGCAGGTAAGAAGGGATTAATTAATTGCCCTTATGGTCTTTGTTATATTGACTTAATGACTGCAATGCAATTTCGTGAACAAATCTCGCAAGCCTGATCCAAAGAGGGAAAAGAAAAAAAAATAAAAAAGAAAAGAAAAGTGATTGACTTGAAAAGAAATTGAATTAAGAAATCTTGAGGAGATGGGTAGAATACTCCAGACAATCACTTAACCGAGCAAGTAGGTTTGGTGACGTGTTGCTTTGTACCGTGAATGAATTACATGAACAGATGTTGATTGTTACTGTGGCCACCTGCCTCAGTATCTGTTTGGAAAATCTTGTGGGAGTCTTCTTACCACAAACAAGCTATAACCACAACCTAGATTTATTACTATCAGAACCAAGTGAAGGGTCTCATCTGTTTTCCTGCTCGTGATGAGCTCAGATGGTATGCATTCAGTGAAAAATTCATATGTGTCTGCCCAGTTCATAATTTTGTCTTTGAAGAAAGAAAAATCTACTAATGCTTAGTCTAATCAAACTGCAGCTGCATTTCTTTATTTGTAGATTAGATATGGTCATGTTGGTTATGTAAAGTGCATGTGCTAACCACTAATATGAAGTCGCAGAAGTCATTTTGAATATAATTACAAAGGTGAATATTATATTAAAATAAAAAAAAAATACACACCTGAGTGCCTTCAGAAAGATAGGCATGCATAAGAATTAGGTATTTGCAGACAAATGGTCATCTAAGACAACAAAGAATTCTAGATGGCCTGAAGAAACCTTTAGAATGACATACCTGGAATAGCTGTGCAGATTACACAGGATGGTGTATCCAAAGATGGGAACCACTCAGGATTAGCTTGGTCTGTTCCAAAATAATGATATGTGCAAGAGCTGGTTTAATGATGCACACTTCTGAAATCTGGCCTGAGGTGCCCAGAATGTATTCTTCAAGGGGGTCTAGCACAGCAAATGAACATCACTGTTCTTTTATTTTTTTTCCTGTAGATCACAAGAGTGAGATTGCCCACCGCTACAATGATTTGAAGGAGGAGACATTTAAAGCAGTGTAAGTAAATGTTCTGCTTACATGTTCTGATTGTTTTCCATCTCTATTGATATTGAATTAAAAAGGGAAACTTAAACACTGTATGAGCTCATGAAGGGTGCATGGGTCTCATCAAACCATTGCATTGAATTAGCCTTCTTACTGTTAGTATGCAAAGCTTACAGGTGCTATAAGAGCTGCAAAAGTCATGATGACTTTCTTGCTCTCTGAGACCACAACTCGTTGCATTATGAGGAAACCTGTGTTCCTCATGTGAAAATACATGTAAATAATACAGTTTTGATAACCTTTGGGTGGAGAGGAGTTATTCTGGACTAAGACATTACCAAAAAAACCCACAACCTTCTAGCAAGTTTTCTGAGACAATTCAATGATTTCCTTTTGAAATGGGTTTTGGGAATGGCAGAAGACCCTTATAGGAACATAACTATTTCTGAAAGAAGACACTGTGAAGAACATCATCTGTAACAATGGCAAAAGCAGCTTAGCTTATGGTAGTTAGGAATGTACTGGTTAAAGTGGCAGAAAATTCAAATCAGTCTTTTCCATGTTAATTCTAGTCTATCATTTAAGGAGGTGAGAAGAGCAAGAATATGGGATCCAGTATTAATGATCTTTGTAGTACACTATTTAAGCATTTGTGCATATTGTTTGAACAAGTAATTTTGAATCTTGTGTTCCTTATCTCCATATAGCAAAATTTGCTTTCTGTTTCAGTGCCATGATCACATTTGCCCAGTATCTCCAGAGGTGTTCTTATGATGGACTGTCTAAGCTTGTGAAGGATGTTGTAGATCTGGCACAAAAGTGTGTAGCCAATGAAGATGCTCCCGAGTGCTCAAAATCACTGGTAGGCAGCAAATCCTTTGGTATTGTGTTTCTTCTCATTATATGCAGCTACCAGAATCATCCTCATTAAGGATTTATACTTGTCATCAGTCAAGGTTCAGATTTTTATGTTGAAACAGAGAATGTATTTTTGTCAGGTTCTGAAACTCTGCCTTTCAGAAGTGTCATAATGATGGGTGGAGTTATATATTGGAGCCCCAAAAGCAGACTTCAGTACATTAAGTATAGTGTTGTCCATAAATAAATGTTACCATTAGTACAAGTACCCTGTCTGCAAAATACAGGTCTAACTGTAGGAATTTAAGCAGCCATAGTGTGTGGGTTTTCATACAGGGGTGACTTGAAAAAAATACCTGTCATAATTTAACATAAAAAGTTAAAAAACAAACAAACAATAACAACAACCTGCTAAGATCAGGTATCCTAAGATGTTTACAGGTACATAAGATCCTTGGATGCCTAGCAGGTTCAGCCAGGCCCCTGAGAAATTTAGGTGCTTGTGTTCTTGCCAGTTCTCACATTCAAACCAAATTACATGACTATATTAGTTCTCCCTAAAGGCTACCCAAGCTGATCATCAAATAGAACACCAAATCCTGCTTCAATTCATCTGAGAATTCACTTTAGTCAGATTACAAGTAACAGGAGACCACTGACTAGCATGGAGTATTTTAACTTATCATTTTTTTTAGTAGGGCATTGTAATTTTTGATATTGGACAACATAAAATAAAACTATGAATTTGTGCTGAAAGCAATGGATTATTCTGATTTATGGTCTTCCCTGGTAAAATTTTACTTACTTTTGAGTTTGGGCTTTCTCTTACAGATAGATAGAAAGTACATTACACTACCCATACAACAGTATCTTTCTAACAATAATTTTAACTCATCATGTCCCTCGTAGCCCTCCATTTTCCTGGATGAAATCTGCCAAGTAGAAAAACTCCGTGACTCATACGGTGCAATGGCTGACTGCTGTGCTAAATCTGATCCTGAAAGAAATGAGTGTTTCCTGTCATTTAAAATTCCCCAACCAGACTTCGTTCAGCCGTACCAAAGACCAGCTTCTGATGTTATATGCAAGGAATACGAGGACAACAGAGTGTCATTTCTGGGACAGTAAGAAAAATGGCAATTTTGTACTGTTTAAATATTTAGTTGAGTGATCCCCAAGGCATAGTGAGTGTGTAAGGACATTTGAAGAGGCTGTAAGCATGCAATCAATTATCTGCATGTATAAAACAGCTGCTTAATGATTTAATATCCAAAGCTCTCATCAAATTTTTTTCATTCCATGCCGGAGCAGGTTTTTCCATTCAAAATGGGCCTTAAATGATCACATTTTGTAAATCTTTGGGGACATTTTGCAAAAAATTTTTTTTTTGAAAAAACACAATTTTTCCAACATTATTGTAGTAATTTACTTACTCCAGCTCTCCACTAACCCCATTCTAACCAGAAAGGATATGAAGAAAGGTAACAATAAAGAGAATAAAAATTGGCAATAAAATCCTGGGAAAATGGCCACAGATTAGTTTTTCACACTCAGAATTTTCAAATATTTCACAATGCAAAATCACAATGCAAAGCCATAAGACATTTAAGGCCATTTGCTGTTGTCATTGAAATATGTAACTTATGTTTTCCTTTTTCTTATAGTTTCATCTATTCTGTTGCAAGAAGAAACCCCTTCTTGTATGCCCCTACAATCCTTGGTGTGGCTGCTGATTATGAACACGCACTTAAGAGCTGTTGTAAAGAGAGTGATGTCGGTGCTTGCTTGGATGGCAAGGTAAAGCTAATCTTTCACTTTGCTTGAAAACGCTGTAGCTGGTCTGCAACATAAAGGTGATCCATAGCCAGAAGACGTGCTACCAAAGAGACTCTAGGGGAAGACAGATCTTTTCTGGCAGCCTAACATTCAATTTCCACACCCAACAGATAGGTGCATGAGAGGTCTCTCCTATTCCTCCCCAGTTCCTTGCATGAGCAAAGGGAGGAGAAAGAGTGAGAAGTGAGTGGAATGCTCCTGGCTATGTAATTCTTTGTAAGAAGAACTTGTAAAGAAGGGTCAGGATTAATCATGTGCTAGCACTTTGATCACTATCAGATGACTTCCACATAGAACCGTAGATTTTAAGTTAACTTTCAAGATTATTTGGCATGAGCCAAGTTCTCTCTCTGTCTCTAAACTCAGTTCCAGTGACTTCCATGTGATCATTGTGGTGCTTTAGAAGAGAACTTACGCTCTTTTGGGGCCACAGAGTTTAAATGAAATTGAATATTTGGTTATAAGAGCAGCTTATCATTAGGTGAATTGCACTATGCCATAAGGCATTGTGTATAGGCTAGAAGTTAGATGCTGGACTGGGAACTGATTAGGGCTGCCTAAGGAATTCTCAGTTTGCTTGGCTTTACATCAGTGCTAACTGGACAAGAACCTGTACTGTTTCTGAAGTGGGATTTCAAGATTTGCTTTCTGCTCAGTCCATTAAATGTAATTAGCTTAATGTGACAATGTGCATCCTATTACTATAGGAAACTGGCATAAGAGAAAAAGTCAAGAAAATAAGTGTGAAGCAGCAGTATTCTTGTGGAATCCTCAAGAAGTTTGGAGATAGAATTTTCCAAGCAGAGTAAGTTACAATCAGTGTTTTATAAAAAGTAGGCTTGTTGGCTTAAACCTGCAACTACTCATGAGGAAAATATCAACACACGTAATTCACTTCTATATGCTGAGTTTGATAACTGTACTCACGGTACTTCCTAGTGTAACTTTGGCTGAGGAACACTGTCCAACACAATAGAGATTAGTAGGTCAGTCTTTCTGGACTACACCTGCAGTGATCTCTCAGCCTATTTTTTCAAGTGTAGAATTTAGTTCTGGTCACGTTTCAGCATAAAGACTGGATGCAGAGGGGAACTTTTGTATTCCAAGTGGATAGTGAGTAGTAGTAAAAAGATCATCCATGTGAGTCACAAAGAAATGAAGCCATCCCTTGAACCAATACACAAGATACAGAGACCTGAGAGAGGTCACTAGAACCAGATTCCAATGTGTTTAATCTATGTGTTTTCCAAAGTTGTGCCCTGTTCTGATTCCTGTACTGTGTCTGTGCTAATACAGAGATGCTTTACAGTCATTTGAGAGAGGGGGAATTCTAGGGTGTGATTCTTATATATACACCTCAGATTAGAAAAATCCAAACTTCTTTCTTATTGTTCATTTTAAAGGAGAATTGGATTGCAGGTACAGGTGTCAATGCCTTTTTTTTTTAGCCTTAAGTTAGGTGAGAAGAATGAATGTCATCAGTGATGTATAGCATAAGTGTTAGTGATTTGCAAGTTTTCTGTTCCATATGGAGCTTTGAATCAAGTGTATTTTTCTTATTCTCTGTCCAGTAAACTTGCTTTACTGAGTCAAAAATATCCCAAGGCTTCATTCGCAGAAATCTCAAAACTTATCCATGATGTTAAGGATGTCTACAAAGAGTGCTGTGAAGGGGACATGGTGGAGTGCATGGATGACAGGGTAAGCTAAATATTCTTTAAAAATGTTTACATACACGAAAAACAGTAGGAAATTAAAAATTTCAGTAGCATGAATACCTGCTGAAGTTCACAGTCCTAGGAACTTCTATTCAACACTGCTGGAAGGTTTCTCAGTCACTAAAAACTTACAGTCAGCTCAGCTGACTGTTACCGGTACTAGGTTTTGGACCATGATCATGATGGCAAGGAGTTTTTATTGATACATATACACACACACACACATATATATACACACATACACATATATATATACATATGTATATACACACACATATAGTGTGTGTATGTGGTCAAAATCAAAATGTTCATCTGGGAGGGGGATTGTTTGATGGCATTTGATCAATTTAAGTCATTTGTAAACAAAGAAAAAGAAAGTGGAGGCAGAAAGAAATTCTTTGCAATCCTGCTGTGTGATTTTAATCACTATTAATCCAGTTTTTCTGTAGTCCCAATTAATTCTAAAGGACAGCTTGCATGGGAGGATTTGCAAAACTGCAATAATAACCGTATCTAAATATTGCCTGCCCAGCTGGAACTTAGACATACTTCTTAAACTTATAAGCAGCTGGTGTGCTGGTTTGGCTTCATAAAACTATGGTTTTTAATGTTTTATTTTCTATCAGAGCTGGACATGTGACAGGACTGAAAAGATTAATCAGGCATTCTTGTGACAGTCTCAGTGGTTTTAACTGCCTTTCCAGAGTTTGTCTCCTCAAAGATTCCAAGATCAGGGAGGGAAGCTGATTTTCCCCCATGCCTGTGAACATCTTGCTTAACACATGCAGGAAATGCCAGTACCTCTCATTATTTCCTTTTGTATGGAGACAGCATTTCTTTAGGAAATTGCTAAGTAAATAAGTAACCTGAATAAAAAAAAAAAGTCTGAAACAGAGAAGTTGAATTGATCTAACTTTAAATTATTATTTCATAGCTTATCTGAAGCTTTATTTTAATTTTACAGGCAGAGCTTGTGAACTACATGTGCTCTAAACATGAGGCTTTCTCAAGTAAAATCAAAGACTGCTGTGAGAAGCCCATTGTGGAACGAAGCCAGTGCATTATGGAAGCAGAATTTGATGAAAAACCTGCAGATCTTCCTTCACTAGTCGAAAAATACATCCAAGATAAGGAAGTCTGTAAAAGCTTTGAGGCAGGCCATGATGCATTCATGTCAGAGTAAGTAGTACAAACAGTATGTGTGCTTGTCCTGTAAATGATCTGCTTTTGTTTCTGGGCTATGGCCTTTTGTATCACTGGGAAAAAAAAAATAATAAATCCTCTTGGATATTTCAAGTGTGTATGGAGGAAAGAGAGGACCACATAGAAGTCCAATGTGGCAGATGTAACTTCAGGCCTAGTTTCTCATTCATACTTTGTGGCTATTATCAAAGCTGAATTTATTGTTGCCTTTACTTTATTTATTTATTTATTTATTTTGGTGCTGGTCCACATACATTGTCTGCTTGAGAAGCATTCTGTCCTGGGGAAACTACTTCGTTCCTCTTAAATTTGCCCTGTTGGCAGTCAGAAGAATGGCCAAAACCCAAAAAATTTTACTAAAAAAAGCAGGGAACATTTCAAACTTACTGTCCACCTTACTTGATCTCATCTGAGGGACTGTCACTGTCAATTACTGTGTGGTGCATGAGGAAAGCAGCATGTTATTCAGGAGCTCTAATGCTGTCAGTTTGTGTGTCTTTCAGGTTTGTTTATGAATACTCACGAAGACACCCTGAGTTCTCCACACAGCTGATTCTGAGAATTGCTAAAGGATATGAAACACTCCTGGAAAAGTGCTGCAAAACTGACAACCCTGCTGAGTGCTATGCAAATGCTGTAGGTGCAATGCTTTGTTTACTTGTGACTAGAATGCTTGGTTGGTACCAATCATGAAGCAATTCAGTTGAGGAGCAGACAAAAAGCATTTTGAGAGACTAATCCCAGAAGAAGTTAATATTCTGATGGGACATGAAGCAGTGCAAAGCCCATGACAAAGATATGAAATCATCCCAGCTTTTTTTTTACTGAATTTCTGTTAGAACTGAATGCTCATTTATGAATCAAGTCCCCCTTACTCCAGCTAGGCTAGAAGCAAACAGTTGGCCTTTCAAAATGCATATCTTAGAGCTACTAAGATTTAGAAGAGACCATAAGATATATTTGCATGATCATGACCAGGATGTCCTGCTCTGTTACTGATAAATTTTTACTTGTTTGCAGCAAGATCAACTGAATGAACATATCAAAGAAACTCAGGATGTTGTAAAGACAAACTGTGATCTTCTCACTACCCATGGCGAGGCAGACTTCCTCAAGGCGTAAGTACTTTCTGATAAGTATTCTCCAGCGTAAACGATGATTCTGGCAGCTTTGGGAATATGCATTTGAACCTGACTTCTAGTTTCAGTTCACTAGTGTAGTTAAGCAGAGAATTCTTCAAAAGTGAGCAGTCATTTTTAATGCATTTTTTTCAGATTGCTGATCCGCTACACTAAGAAAATGCCTCAGGTATCAACTGAGACCTTGCTTGAAATTGGAAAGAAAATGACAGGCGTTGGTACCAAGTGCTGCAAGCTTCCTGAAGACAGACGCCTACCTTGTTCTGAGGGTTATGTGAGTACATTTGTTTATTCTTTTTATTCCTCTGAGAGATTTCTTCTATTCTCAAAAACATGGAAATCTGGTGGGATAGTAAACTAACACTGATTTTTCATAGCCCTCAAGCTAATTAGCAACGTAACAGACTTGGAAGTCCATTCATTTTTAATGGACATGAGGACCTAAATAGCTCTCTCAGATGGCAGCTTGTGAAAATTGTAACTCAGCTTCGCTCTCCTTCAGAAAGCAAAAGTCAGATGATTGAGTCTTTGGGAGCTTGTGTTTAGAAAAAGAGCCTCTTAAAAGAAAAACGTTCTTATTGATTATAGTCTAATGGTCATACCATCAACAGATTAAAAAACATCTGACTCCAGGAACACACATTAATTTTGAATTCTAAAACTGTGCCATTTCTGAGCAGCTGATTAGGTTGGAAAGCTTCCACTTTCAGCTATGCTATAGTGACACAAACATCACACATTTCTTCTGTTATTGTAGAAGGTTTAACTCATGTTTGTACTTTTTTCCATCTATCTCTCACCAGCTGAGCATGGTGATTCAGGATATGTGCAGGAGACAGGAGACCTCACCTATAAATGACAATGTTTCACACTGCTGCAGTGACTCCTACGCTTACAGGAGACCATGTTTCAGTGCCATGGGAGTAGATACCAAATATGTTCCTCCACCGTTTAATCCTGACGTGTTCAACTTCGATGAAAAATTGTGCAGTGCTCCTGCTGAAGAACGGGCAGAAGGCCAGATGAAGTAAGCTAAATTAAATTCCTTGGAGAATAAACTCAAAAACGTAACACTTGAGCAGGGACAGAAGTAAGCTAACAAAAACCCTGATCTGTTGTCTGACTGGGACTTCACTGCTGACAGAGAAGACCAGATGGATCTATGTATTTGTACTGAGCTTGTCAGCATGTTACATCACATAGTTAGGAAGAGGCACAATAAGTTACTTTCTTCGAATGAAATTAATGTCTTAACTAAATGTGACCAGTTTCATATACTGCCTCAGACAGTGCAAGTCTTAGGATTTACTCAGTTAACACAGCATACAGATCATTTCACTAAGTTCTTTCACATCAATAATCAGGATAACAAAAACCCAGCAAGTGATGGTGGTAGACAGGGAGTTTGGCAAAGACCTCTCAACGCATGACAAAAAGCCTCTTAAATGAACTGTATCTGCATAGAATGACATATTATGCATTGGCAAAACAAATGTCAACAGGTAGCGTTAACTATGGCTTGGTGCTTTGTTTTCAGATTGCTCATCAACCTCATTAAACGCAAGCCCCAGATGACAGAAGAACAAATAAAGACAATTGCTGATGGGTTCACTGCCATGGTAGACAAGTGCTGCAAGCAGTCAGATATCGAGACATGCTTTGGCGAAGAGGTATTTCCTAGCTCCTTTAAAAATAAAAATAAGCATACAGGAAACAGGGAACTCACTAGGAAACCAGCCACTAGGAAAGGGGTAGAAATGTCAGTTTCCAAAGAGCAATCTCTTTATCATGTGAAGCATTAATGGATCTGCATTATTGAGTGAATCCTTTTTTTTAAAAAAAAATATTTATTATTTATAACCAAAGTATCGCATAGGTACATATATTAGGAAGACCTTAGAAGGAATTATTCTGCCTGTAATTCACTCTAAATGTTTATTTTCTACCTTCGCAAAATTGAAAGATACCCAGCACACAAGAACACACAGCTCCTAAACTTAGAAAGTACCATTAGAATTATCCTTTGAGCCATAACACAGACACAAGTTGAAGTTCACAGAAGTTCTTGCACAAGCACTGCGTACTGTGTTCCCTTTGTTTCTCTTTCACAACTGTTTGAATTCCTTTTTCTAGGGTGCCAATCTCATAGTCCAGAGCAGAGCCACATTAGGAATTGGTGCTTAAGACACGGTAGGTAAAAGAAATAACATTTATATAAAAACAGGTAATCCCATCCCTGTCTCCCCATCTTTCTACCCATTTAACTTCAACTCAAAAAGAGCATCTAGCTGCCCTTTAGCCACCACATGTTGGCTTTCTCAATGGGTAGTCAACCAACTACAATCATACAGCATATGGAAGGTTGAAGTGCTACTAGAATGTTACTGCTTTGCAAAATAATATTATTATTTTTTTTAATCCCATCTAGGCTGCCCAAGGAGAAAATATGAAGATAAAATGCTTCTGTGTAACTTCTCCTGCCCATTACCTTTTTTCCTTGGTATTGAATGACAGTTTCGTAAATCTTCATTTTTTTTTGTCAAACCACATGCTTTTCCAGAAACTTTTCAATTCTATTACTTTGCAAAAAATGAATAGTAAATAAAATCATTTTAAATCTGCATCTGCCCTGGTCTGCTGGTGACTGCTCTAAGGCAAAGATCTTACAGGCACTCGTTACACAAGATGGTTGTTACAGCAGTATTTATGGATAGGCACCCCATTGTTTTCTCTATTTCTTGCTCTTTTAAAATATTTATGTCCCACCAATCGGATAATATGAAAGGTGGTATGATTTTTAGCTAGACTTTAATAGGAACATTTGACTCTTCACGATTATAACTACACAGTAAGAGAATGTTACAAAGAACCAATCAGTCTAAAGAAGATGGCTAGTAATGTTCTCTTAAAAATGAAAATAAGATTTTTATTTTTATTATTTTTATAGCCACAGATCTAGCATCTCTTCTCTTGCAAAGAACTGCACAGTGAGCTGTTTTTAAACATGTCTGTTTAGGCCTTTAGTTCTTTATAAAAAGAACTTCTGACTTTAGAGATGCCTTTTAAGAAGCCAACAATCAAAATCATGCCCTTCATTTCAGTGCGTTCCTAACAGAGACGTTGTTGGGTTCCACACCACTAAAACACCATGATTTTCTATTACATACTTAGTTTCAATCCACAAACAACAACAAAAAAGTACAAATCTTGTACAGTTGAATGTAGGATGACATGGTTTTTTGTTTGTTTGTTTTCCAGCTTAGAGCCCTTGCATAATAAAGCATTTTATGGGGGCAGTTTTCTTGGCCTTGAAACCCTTTGTGACTCTAGTTCATGAACCGAGAATCTTCTACAGGACCACATAAATACACTCAGAATGAAACACAGACACGAGGTTGAAAATGTAAAGGGAAGAATTTGTGAATCTTGATACAATTGGAAGGTTTGAAATTTCAGTCAGTTAGACATAGTTACGCGTTGTTTTAGAAGAATGTATGTGATCTCGAGGTTTTCACAATCGTCTTATTAGAGATGCAGAGCTTAGTGAATTTGAGCAAGAAACGTTCAGCAGCTGCAGTTAAACACCTTCCCTTCATTACTCCATGTTCATGGCAAGGAGCACAAAAGTCATTATAAAGGCCATTCCCATTATCTAATTCACAGTCATTCACTGCAGCTGAGACTAACCTGCTCTAGGACACTGTAGTTTAGTTGTAGTTAATTAGAACATATTAAGCTTGTCCAAGGAAAATGTTTGGGTAGGATTCTGAAGCAGAAAAATCAGGTCTAGCCCCACAAGACTATAAAGAAGTGGGGAATTCTCAGTAGTTTTCCAGTCTTTCATGAGCTGATTAGCTCACTGTAATGTCTGGTAGATCTTTTAAACAGCTACAATACCTACATATACAAAGCAAGTTAACAATTCCATTAAGATTTAGAAATCCAGAATGTGTTTTTAATTACTGCTTGTGTAATTTTGCTGACTCCAAAGGGATAAAAAATTCATATGTATGATTTCCAGGCTGCATGTATAATTGCTGAGAAAAGTGATGTGTCAAGAGAACAGAGTAAAGTTGAATATCAATATACCAAAAAATCTGAAAGAAATGAACTGACACCCCTACCCAGTTTCTACAAGTCATAGAAATCCATCCATTTCACTCTCGTACATGAAAGCATCTTTCAGTTACAGAAAGAGCACCCTAGACAAGCTACAGCACTTAAAGGAGTATCTAAAGCCTCGGTAATGCTGTGGTTTCTAAAATTACATCTTAACAGCTTTTACTCCCGTGCTGAGCAATTTTCCATGTATTCTTAAGGTCTCTTTTGGGCTGCGTTTTTCCAAAACTGATGCTTTTTGTCAATCCAGGTTCCTTTCTAATGAGGTAACTTTTCTTTTTTCCTTGTAGTGTCTGAGTTGTGTCTGAGTTCAAAAGGCAGAGGAACAAGCAGAGTTGCAGCTCTAGCTAAGACGACAGTGCAGAAATATTCTGTAACCACATAAGTGTCTCCTAAAGAGGTAGGGAAAACTCTCCTGGAACATATTTAAGCTTCTGCTACCAAACCTGAACCATGACTTCAAGTTTCAGAAAGGCCAACTGTTAAGATAACTCTTGGCATGACACCTGTGACTTGTTTTCATACAGCAACATTTGTTAGGGTATTTCAACAGACTTTCTGCTTTGATACTTCTGTTTTAACTTCTAGTCCCTAGAACTCACTGAAAACTTACACAAGTATTCCTAAGTAGTCAAGTGGAAAATCAAAACACAAATCAGCACACACATTTGTACTCTGTGATGGGTTTTTGGAAGGCCTGTCTCATTGCCTGTGGACAACTGAGTTTGCAATAATATGCCAAACCAGCCAGAGCACTGTTGTAAGCATCCATTTCTTGCAGTGTGACAATTCACTTGGCAGTTTTGCTAGTACACGGTGTGCCCTGGAGAGGCTAATGTTTGTTGTGTCTGTCTAGATAAAAAATAGAAATGCCTTCCCAGGGAGATGATGTCTCAGGAAAGACTTAAGTCTTTTGACTTCAGTGCTGGGGAAGCTCATGGAGCAGATTATCTTGAGTGTCATCACATGGCACTTGCAGGGCAACCAGGTGATCAGGCCCAGTCAGTATGGGTTTATGAAAGGCAGGTCCTGCTTGGCGAACCTGATCTCCTTCTATGACAAAGTGACACATTTGGTGGATGAGGGAAAGGTTGTGTATGTGGTCTACTTTGACTTCATCAAGGCTTTTGACACTGTTTCCCACAGCATTCTCCTTAAGAAACTGGCTGCCCATGGCTTGGACTGGCGTACACTTTGTTGGGTTAAAAGCTGGCTGGATAGCTGGGCCCAAAGAGTCGTGGTGAATGGAGACAGATCCAGTTGGAGGCTGGTCACTAGTGGAGTCCCCAAGGGCTCAGTACTGGTGCCAGTTTTCTTTAGTATCTTTATCAGTGATCTGGATGAGGGGATCGAGTGCACCCTTAGTTTACACACGACACCAAGTTAGGTGCATGTGCTGATCTGCTCGAGAGTAGGAAGGCTCTGCAGGAGGATCTGGATAGACTGCACCGATGGGCTGAGGTCAACTGTATGAAGTTCAACAAGGCCAAGTGCCGGGTCCTGCACCTGGGGCACAATAACCCCAAGCAGAGCTACAGGCTGGGAGAGGAGTGGTTGGAGAGCTGCCAGGCAGAGAAGGACCTGGGAGCATTGATTGATAGTCAGCTGAATATGAGCCAGCAGTGGGCTCAGGTGGCCAAGAAGGCCAACAACATCCCAGCTTGCATAAGAAACAGTGTGGGCAGGAGGTTTAGGGAAGTGATAGTCCCCCGGTACTTGGCTCTGGTGAGGCCGCACCTCGAGTACTGTGTTCAGTTTTGGGCCCCTCGCTACAAGAGGGATATCGAGGTGCTCAAGTGAGTCCAGAAAAGAGCAACAAAGCTGGTGAGGGGTCTGGAGAACAAGTCTTACGAGGAGCAGCTGAGGGAGCTAGGCTTGTTCAGTCTGGAGAAGAGGAGGCTTGGGGATGACCTAATCGTTCTCTACAGGTACATTAAAGGAGGCTGTAGCGAGGTGGGGGTTGGTCTGTTCTCCCACATGCCTGGTGACAGGATGAGGGGTAATGGGCTAAAGTTGTGTCAGGGGCGGTTTAGGTTGGATGTTAGGAAGAACTTCTTTACCGAAAGGGTTGTGAGGCATTGGAATGGGCTGCCCAGGGAAGCAGTTGAGTCACTATCCCTGGAGGTCTTTAAAAGACATTTAGATGTAGAGCTTAGGGATATGGTTTAGTGGAGGACTTGTTAGTGTTAGGTCAGAGATTGGACTAGGTGATCTTGGAGGTCTCTTCCAACCTAGGTGATTCTGTGAACATGGTACTGCTGTAATACACAGGGATCTAAAAGAGTGAGATCTTGCAGTGCTGAGTATTCCAGAGAATTACAAAGCCTTGCACTCTGTTCCTGTTTGTATGCCCTATTTGCCTATTCCTCCTCCTACAACAGCACAGTGTAGCAAATCAATATTTAGCTGTAGTTTGTGATGTACTATAGCCACTCAGTAACATGCAAGCTAATTTGTACTTTCTCTGTTATCACTTTTTTAATAGCTCATATCTCTTTTTTGTATACCCTCTCTGAAGGTTAATAAAACCATGAACAGTGAACCTCGAATATTCACAAAGACTACATCTGCAAATCAAGTTTTTCAGTCTTTGGGAAAAGCCTGATGGCAGCTACAAACCCATCTTTTACATGAAACACAGTTTTGACAGTATCATCCATTAACACTAGTTGATGGAAAACTCCTCTAAATTAACCTGTTTGTTATATTTAGATTTCATATGCTAAACCAACAAAACAAAGTCAAAATCATTAATTCTTGCGCAAAACCTACCATTGCTGTGTGAAGAAGATGTCTGTGCAGATTCCAGAGCTTCCAGAATAACAGCACGATCCAGAAGTTAGAAATGATGCTTTTCCCTTAGGTGGTTAGAAAGCAAGATCTTTATCTGACTTCTCCAGGAGTAGAAGGGTAAGAAACCATATCCATTTCCTGCTGCCCTCTCCTTCAGTCTTTAATTCCTTCAGCTGACCACTCATCATCTGCATCCATCAGACTCTTCTCCCACCTGCCCAAAGCTTATTTTCTTCATCCCTGAATTAATCAGCTACCTCCTCCTGTCCATACCTGTACTATACTCTTAATTATGAAGTAACAGTTGTCTTGCGTGTAAACACAGTTTCCATTGTCTTTTAAAACATTGGGTATTGCTACTGGTATTTGTAAGAACATCCCCACAAAGTATTGTCATCTCCTGGCCATGGCATTTCCCTGTTACTGCTTGATTTCTCACAGTCCCTCTGAGGTTGATGAAATGCCGCGCCCTCTTGGCCCCATTTGCTTTGCATTCAGTCTCAATATTTGGGAGCTCATGATTTTCGAGAGTCTCTTGTAAAGCCACCTGCTGCAGCTTTAATAAATGGGAATTCCTTTAATGCAGGCTTCAGCTTTCATTTGAACATTTGATAACATCCTGATCTTTGTATATCTTTTTATAATATTTATATACAGGTTATGAGAAAGAAAACAGCAAACTGATCAGTTAGCAAGACCGTTTTTCTAGCTCTCCATACCAGCGTATGATGCTAATCATGAAAAGCTCAGATTTTTTTTAAAAAAAAACAGTAGAATATCTCCAGAGCTTGGCAATGGGTAGTGGCTCTGGACCAAGGCATGCTTCTAAGTTTACAGAAAATTCCTCTTGGTCAAACAGCAGCTTTTCTGTTCTCAGATACATGTCAGAAGATCTTTATGACTGTACGATATCAAAAGTGTGCAAATTTTGGGTGCATCTTAAGATATACAAGAAAGTCTCCTACCATCATCATGTATCCCTTAGCACCATCAGGTATATTTTTTCATAATATAAATCTTTATGATCTTTTTGCCCAGGGGTTGTTCTCTGTTACCTCTTACTAAGGGTAGCACATGACTTGCTGCTCAGCAGTGGGTGTGCTTTTTAAGTTAATTAAAATAAGTATAGCTTAGTAATCAGTGCTAAGTGACTTTATTTTCTTTTATGTTTTCTGATTCATGCTGTGTTAGTGTCTTGATCCAAAGACCTGGAAGTGACTTTTCTGCAACCAGGACTAGTAAGTTGAGTTTCAACCAAGATAAAACGACATGTCACTAGGACTAATATTGAAACATTTCATTTGGCTTTGGTTGCTGAATCTATCAAATTTAACTGCATATAGGTGTCACACAAGACCTGTGAGAGCATGCTGTACCCTCTGGTCTTCTCTGGTGAAGAGAAAAAATGAAACTTCATTTACTTCTTTTATTGGAAGCATATAAAACATGGAGAAGATGGGGGAAACTGTCCCTCAAGTTATGCAAAGCAATTGATACTCTGAATTAACTTCCTAATGATATGTAGTCCTAAGTGAAAAATAAAGGCAAATCTCCCCTCTGCCTGAGCCATCATTTGCCAATACCAATACAGACCAATTTTCAAGAAATATTGACAAAAGAAAAGGCTGCACAGTTTGAGGATTACACCAAGTTATAGTTTACAGGAAAACTTGTTTCCCAATCTTTATTTACACTATTTCTTAAGTAGCTGGGCAAAGTAAAAATCTGAGTTTACAAGGTGCTTTCAAAATAGTCTGGCCAAAATCACAAACCTAATTAAATAATTTTGTCACACTTCTTTTCAGCAAGGTTGATTGTAGTTGGGAAGCCTCACTGAAGTCTAATGGAAATTTACATTTGTGTAGTTAATTGTTTACAAGCATTCATTGATAACAGCATGTAAGTAACTTCATTGCTTCCAGTCTTCTTTGTTTTGAAGTTCTCCTGCATAGTCACATATAATCCACAATAACGAAGTGACTACCGGTTTGTTCTTTGATTTTTTCTTTTCCAGTTTGCTATATGCAAAAGAATCAGAAAAGACTTGCTCAAGATATAGGTAGGAAAATCCTAGTAGAATTGTTTTCCTTAAGATGACCTTACATCTTTGCAACTGTGTCGGTAACTTTTTGGTAGTTTTTTTGCATAATTTCACAAAGAACGTGAAGTGAAAAAGCTCATCTTCAGAATACATACAGAGACTGGTAACACCTGGACATGTCTATTAGGATGTGCGTTCTCCCAGAGCCCGGGAATCTTTTACATGGTCCAAGCAACATGTCCTTTGTAGTACTTGTGCAGGAAAAAGCGGTTGTTGGATTGCTCATCTTGGGAGTCATACTCTGTCTGAAAGAACATGGATTTTATAACTTATTTTTTTTTATATCTTCTTTTTTATTTGGGTAATGAAGAAACTCTTGGGAAACCTATGTTATTCCAGTTGTCGGCTAATTCTGTAAAGCAAAAGCAAACTACACATGCACTGCAGAAGTGGCTTAATGCAAGAGTAGACATGGTAGAAATGAAAGCCATTGCTTCCTCACTCTTCCATATCCCTTCCTTAAAAAACCCTTACATACTTCAGTGCTGAATTGCAGCAAGAGTGACCTGTTCCATTGACTCATTTCTAGCAGGAGTCCAGAATGGTTGTCTTTCTATCTCTTCTAGCATGGATTTCTGCCAGGTAGACATAATTCAATGGGGAGAGCAATTTTACATACCTTTTCCTCAAAAGAAAGAGGGGCAAGTCATTAGAAGTCTCTAGAATTCTAAGGCATTCTATACAACCGGCCTGCTTGTCTCATTCTTCAGACATGCAGAAGCTACAGAGAGTTGACTAAATTTAGTTGACTACAAGGTGGCATCTGACACCACTTGAAATACCCTAGGTACCCCCTCCTGGTCTTGATTAGTACTACTCCAGAAACTAATGAGTTTTCTGGGCAAAGTGCTATGCTAACCAACTGCCATGCCATATTTTAGCTATCCGGCAGCACACACAAGAGATATTATTCAGTGGACAACAGTCAAGTGTGACTGAAAAAGTAGGTTTACAAATGTTTAAGTAAAAACAAGCTTTATATATGAAATTAGCACCTAAAAGGTAGACTTCACCTCTACCTTTCAAAGTTGTTCATTCAACCATAACACTTTTGCTGCATGAACAACCTAAAAATTGTCAGGAAAAGAATAAGATAATATAGGAGCCACTGGCCTTTGAGAAATAAAAGGTCATAAGGCAGTATTCCACTGAGAAACACGATCCTTTGCTAGAAGAACCATCTCAAATAGATTCCTGGTGGAACAAAAGTCAACAAACTTTCCACCTGCAAGTCAAAAATAACTGCTCTATGCACTTGTACCAAGGCAAGTCCTCATCCTTTTCAGGAAGTGATCTGTAAAAGCTGGTAGGATGGTTTCAAAAGTGTGTTTAGTCTTGACAGCTGTCACCACTCTGTGGGCCTGCTAGAACAGTCAGCCCTGAGGGTCAGGCTGTAAACTGAGTGGTGTTAGGAGTACAGGGGAGCAGAGAGAGCAGCAGTGGGAGAATGACTTGACCAGAAGAGAACCCCAGATAAGGCAATGCCATACACTGAGGAGTTAAAAGACGATTTGTACTCCAAAAGCTAAAACTCTTGTAGGTCCACAGTGAGCTGTACAACAGTCATTATCTTGGGAGCACAGTCTTTTGCAGAGTAGCCATAAGAAATTGTTTGGGGCCTTCTAAAGTGCATGCATTTTGTTTTGGTACCTGCAAGCAGGCATAGTAAGTTCCCCACCTTATCAAAAACGCTGTGTAAGCAGGTCACTGCAACCAAAGTTTGTGTTGTATTAAGATAACAGTGATTCTGTGCTATTAAGATAGCTTGTTTTGACATTCAGCAATGGTGTTTCACTTGGCTAGACCATCACGCCTACAGGTGCCAGATAAAGACAAGGACGAGTTGTAAATGTCACCCTTTGTACTTTGTTGTGTCCCATTCAGCTGTAAACAACCCCCTGTGGGATTTGGAACATACATAGATGTAGGAGCTTAGGAAATTAGGGAGAGAGGGAAGAAAAAAAAAAAAAGGAAAAGGATATTAACTTGAATGATAGCTTACTTCTTCCTTTCCAGATTTTGTGGGTTTGTCTTATGCTCTCATACTTAACTGGTATATGATTTCCTGCCCTACAAAAAGCATTTGTATTGTAACAAATGCAGCAACCTCAGCAGAAACAGCACTCATTTAAAGCTTGCATGCTAAATACCAGGCCTCAGATCCCACTTCTGATACCCACAATCCACCCATTATCAATGATTGCTTTTTCTAGCCTTAGGGTGTGATAACCAATTCAACCCAGAACCTCCAGAGGGACATTTTGTTGCAATGAGTAAGGAAAGTAGAAGAGCCTCTCATCAACGTGATCCTCACGCAAAGCAAAACAAGGTAAGATCCAATAAGATCATCTCAATATGGCATGAAAGAAAAAGAAAGCATCCTGCAGAGCTAAAGCAGGCTCTCAGTTCTCTTGGTGAATCCTTATTGGCACCCCTTGAATGAAACCAGAACTTGCACTCCTGAATAGAGATGGCAGTCCTCCAAGTACAACATACACATCCATTTTCTGTCCTCTTTCTACAATCTAAAATGATGTCTGTTACAGAGATCCCCTCTGAGGTGAGTTGTAACCACTTTATTTACTCAATTATATCTTCTGTACTCTATAGGAAATGTGTATTTTGTTGTTGACATGGCCCTGAAATGAAAGAGAAGGTGAGGAATAAAGCAAGATAGAAGTCATAGTAAGATTTGCAGGGTACTACTCAGTCCTTATGACATGGAATTGACCAAATGTCCTTTTGGACAGAAACTTTATATCCTGTACCTGGAAAGACTCAAGTGGAAGGTTGTCTGTCTGCTAAAAAAAAAAAAAAAATAGGAACAGTGCCATGGAGCTCCAGCAGGCAGCAACAATGGGATGGTTGCTTTTTCCTTTTGTGCTCTTGTTGCAGCACGCCTGGGAGAAAGGCACAGCTTCAGAGAACTGTAGCTGGGAGAATAGCTCTTCATATGGAGAAAACCTAGATTTCTTCTCAGAAGCTCAAGAATAATTTCTTCAAGAACAGGCTAATGAGGAATCCTTGATCACATATAAATAACAAACCATCTGTTAGGACAATGACGTGGCTGTATCAGCCACTGACTAAACCTCTTCGGTTTCCTCTTTAGGAATACTAAATGGCTGTGCCACCCTGGTAGCTACATGGTACTACATGGCCTACAGAGTTATCCTGGACAGATCAGTCTGCCTTCAGTATCCCAGCAGTGTCACAGACAAAATGAATGGGAAGAGAAGTCCCAATGGAAGAACGGCTGTGAAATGTACGTGAATTTATGCTGCAAGGAGGGCTACAAAATCCAATTTATGAAGGCGTTAATTTGTCTACTTGCTAACAGGCTTTGTTTCTTCTTGTTTCACTTCAAAGTACACCAGAAAATTTTACCAGAATTAAAAGAAACTGAAGACAGGGTAAGCTCCTTTCTGCGTAGACATGCTAAGACTGCTATAGTACTAACACCCACACAAAGAAGCGCTCCTGGGACATGTCAATTTTTGCCAAACACTGGGACCAAACAAAGCACCCATTGCACTTTCCACCAACACGCCACTCTGACATAACACACTGCAAATGTGTCCAAACGAGCCCACAGACAAAGGGCATAGAGCACTGCCAGTAAAGTGGCGAGGAAAGTTGTTTCATTCCCAGCCAAGTTACTCAGAGGAACCAAAGGACAGAGGACATCTTTGCCAGCTTACGGCAGCAGGTAGGCGTGCGCGGCCTGGGCATGCTTCCACCTGTACTGCCAGAGGTTACCCAGTCTCCTGTGCAGACATGCTTACAACACCCACAGGGTGAACACTCCTTACAACAGGCACTCAAGGGAAAAATGTCAGATCATATCAAATCAAGGGGCCACACAAAGCACCCAAGTGTGACTGAAAAATGGGGAGAAGCCAGATAGTACACACAAATCTTTTCATTCTCTAAAATTAATGGAATTTGAACGGACTCCTCTTAACGAGAAAAATGGTATAAATTATACTATCACGCATCTTTTTCAGCTTATATCAGCAATGAAGATATTTAAATGTGTAGTATAGAATACTTGAATTCCACATCAAACATTCCATGTTACTTATGAAACAAGTCATATTTCTCCACATGGTGAATAGCCCATGAATTTAGACATCTTTTTTTAAAAGAATCACAACTGAACTATGTATGCAGTAAGAAAACAGTTGAGACATGCGGTTTTGGCAAAAATATACCAATCCAGGAAGTTATCAAGGTCAAACAGAAGTTCACAAATGATAATCAGTCACTTTCATGACTGAAAAGAGTAATTCTTTACCATCAGACTTCCTAGCATTGCCAAATAACCTGTTAAATCATTTGAAGAAATGAAGTTAACAACATGGGTTTCCTCCCTGTATTGCCTCCAGGTTTGCTACATACACTGGAAAAGATTTGCTCTTTAAAGAGCAAACCTTTACCTTTAAAAGTAAATCTTTACTTTTAAAAGGTAAGAAAGTTCTTTATAATACATCCCATAAAGGCCTTATTGTTTGAGGCATATATTCAGCAGTGAGTGTTAGCTGTCATATTGTCACAAGTGATCTTAAAGGAAAGTCTTCCACTCCCTTCAATCGGCTTCAAAGCAGATCCTAAAATACAGACAGAAAAAAAACTTAGGTCTCCTTCGGCAGCCCTCAAGCTCTAACATGCTTTCTCATTTGAATTAGTCTGGCTTTGGCCAATACTTCCATGGTATGCACAATAAGTTCAGTATGTTTTAGCAAGCAGGGCTGAGAACAATACTAGTTCAGAGCACTTGGAACGCTATTCACATGTGTGTCACAGCAGTAAGAGAACAGAGAACTGCTCACAGTTTTTTAGCTAAATATTTGCAGGAAAAACTCAAACACTTTCCAGGAAAACAAGCTTTCCTAAGGAACCTACAGATAATTAACTGAACAACATGGATCCAAGAGAAAAATAGTTTTTGTTTTCAATTGAAAATTCTATGTGTTCAATCACAAAACAATTATTGGAAGATGGGAAGAGAGAAGGGTTAGGATTTTCAATGAAAGGAGGGTGTAAAAACAAAACAAAAACCTGCAAAAGCAAGCCAGGTTTTCTGTTTCAGTTTTTAACATATAAACCCATACTTCTATCCTTTCCTTCCTAGAGCTAACTATTACAAGTACTTGCCCTTCAGAGCAGGGAATTATTGCTTATTTCCAAGAGGGCAGGAAGTACCACTGGTAGGGGCAGAACAGGTGCTGCTAACCATCGTACTGTGGGCATTATTTGAATTTAGAACATATTACGAGTTATTTGAATAATGAGGGTTCAATAACCTGTAGGTTAACAAGATGCATGCTGCACAGCCATCTAAGGAGACTGATCACAGAAGTTACAGAAATGTAACCAGCCTGCAGAGATCAGACATGTAGGACTGCTGATACCCCATTTACTGGCTCACTCAGAGCTAACCCTGCGCCAAGCCATGCAGAGGTTAGCTACCTGCAGTATGCACCCTGGGATGAGAAACTTCTTTTATTACCTAAGAAGCTGATAAGGCCTGTGGAGATTTAGGCATGCAACAAAGACAAGCACTTAAAAGGAGATAGCATGGGAGAAATCAAAACTTCATGGTTCATAACAATTGCTGTAAAAAGTCTTCTGCAGGCGAAATACCCCAGTACCAGAACAAGACAAATTCCAAAACACCTAACCAGATTAAGCCTAGCTATCTTCCTTTTTTTTTTTTTTTTTTAAATCACAGTCTAAAAATATGAATATGAGTGATATTTTCTTTACAAAAAGAGTTAAGAAAGTTCCAATGCGAGTTTTAGACAGCACATCAGACTAGTGGAAGTTATTTACATGGAAAAGAACTCCAAATATCACGTCAAAGCAGCTTAGGATTTTGTAAAAACCAAGTATCTCACTACTCAGGAAGAAGTTTAATTCATCCATGTAGATTAACTTCCTACAAACATCACTCATTTTAGAACGAATGATCAAGATTTAGTAAGAATACTACTCTCCAAGTGCAATAAAGCAAGGGTATAATGGAATGATCTACATGTATTACTTACATTACCAGAAAGTACCAACATTGACTTTAAAGAAATGCAGTGGATATATTGATACCATCATAAAAAATTTAAGGAAGAAAAATAAACTCACAAATTCTGCTCTCCTTAGTAAGAGTAGAGACTAAATACTTCAGCTTTGGGGAGACATTCTTGCTCTTTGGGAGCCTACTTGGAGAATGCTAATCAATGACCAAAGTGCAGCATGAACAGAGAGCAGCACAAAACACAGGAACCTTCCCCTAAAACTAACAAACAACAAAGGAAAACGACCTACACAAACCAACTCACCTCTTTGCTTACAATAATGCACAAAACAAAAACTTTGCAGCATCAGAGCTACCTGGGAATTTCAAGAGTCTGCTGAGGACATTTCTCCCCCTTGCATGCAGCCATCCCCAGCTGATGGGAATTTATAGCTCCAAAAACCCTGACTGCAATCAGCTTGTTCTAGCTCTACCTTGGCCTTTGCCAGATAGTTTGAAGAAGGTCTGGAGACAACTCTGGTCTCTATAAGTGTAAAACAGATTTTGTTGGCATGGTTTCTGAAGTTTGAAAAGCACGAATTCTTGATTATTTTGGCTGTTTGACACACTCTTTCCTTCTGGTTAAATATTGTACACACATTTTCCTCCTGCAAATGAGAGAGTGTTCATTGTAGATAGATACATTGCTACCCTAATAGTGATTAAATATATAAAAATATTTAACCATCCTAAGCATTGTAAACGTCAATAGAGAACTGGATTTTAAGGGTTTTAAATGCAGCAGCCAAGTACAGCTTCCTGAAATACTTAGGACAACATGTTACACATAAACTCTCAAACACACTCCTGCCATAAAGAACTTGCTATAAAAAAGTTTCTAACATCAGTGTCTCAGCTGTTTCTGCAGTTTTTCTTCAAGCAAATACTCATCCCCCCACTTCCCTTAGTTTTAGAGCTTAGAGTAGCAAGGTTGTATTAGGGTACCATTCTGAAATTAAGAGGATCAATCTGCATCTCTCCCTGCTGCTTCTAGGGGAAGTGATGTGGGATTGCAGTAGGTAGTCCCCAGATTGTCCCCATGCTCCCACCTTCATTCAGAATCTTTTTCCTTTTGATACTGTCTCATGCGATAACAAACAACCCTCATCATCTTTCTTCAGCATGGAACAAAGAATATTGCCAGTTTCTCATTAAAAAAAAATAAGAAGTTCTATCTTTGTTGCCTCCTTCAGACCGAATATACATATCCTTGCCCGCCTGTCTCTTAGTTACAAATACCCATGGCTCTCTGAAGCCATTCTATCTCCAAAAATATGATGTTTTCATCATGATGATGATTATAGAATACTTTTTAAGAAGGCACTAAGTAACTTTATTATTTTTCCCATTCATTATAGTTTTGATTTTGTCTCAAGATTTCTGACATACTTTGATGCTAATTGTTAATGCTGCAAATATATTGCATGGGCTGCTTAATTTCACCTTTTTCACCATGCCAAGTGTGGGAGCCACCAAGTGTGGGAACAAGAGATAGCTTGCTCAGCAAGGAAAGATGCAAAAATCTCAGGGTAACTGATGAACTTGTGTTCTTTCAGTCAACAGTGTGTTACAAAGGCATCTTCTGCACAGCAATCACCTTTGAACAAATCTGTAAGTAGAAGAGATCTACATTCATGATAAAAAGCACAAAGAATGTTTAAACTTCTTGTTTGAAGTGTGATAAGTTTAAAATGTCTATTTGTCTAAATTTCAGGGGGAAAAAAGAATCTACAAGGTTCCTTCTTTGCAACAAGCTGGTCGGTCCATCATACTAAGCAAATAATGTCATGTTTAATTATTGTGGGAATATTCTAAAAGGGTTAATGTTATATATGGCACTAAAAGGGTTTTGATTAACCAGAAATCATTTGGTAGAGTATATAAGATCATTCCTCTTAAATCTTTCTGCCTTTCAGAGATAAACCAAACCCATCTCAGGCTTCTGCCAAAGGCTGACATTATGAATTGGAGAACAGTAATTTATATCATTTTATTAGTAAGCTTTACTGTAGTCAAAGCCCTGCCTAGAAGTTATTGGGACATAGGTAAGCATATATCTCATATTTTTATTCTATTCTTTCATTTAATGCTGATAAATACAACTTGGCATGCATGGTTATTTGGTATCTCACTTTATCACTGTCAATTTTAGATAGTATTTTCTTAGCAGTGAAAGATATACGACAACACTGTAACTGTATAACTTGTTTCTTGAGATCAACCGTAGACATGATGCTTCTTAATGTCTTGAGAGTCCATGTAGTGGGACAGCCTGAACTTACTGAGAGGATGTGTATTGAAGGGTAATTTAATCTTTGGGGGAGTTATTCCACTGAATTTCAGGTACTCCAAGAACTGCTGAAGTAAAGACTGCAGTTGTTTTAGCTTCCCTCTATAGTCCATGGGAGAGTGACACAGTGAAGGCACAAGAAGGATGCTACATCCAGATGGCTATTCAGTAGCTAAGTTATGCAATTTCTCTTTATTATGCTTTGGAGGAATCTAAGTTGCTCTTCACTGACTCCTGGAGAGGCTTATGATGGCCCTGCCTTGCACTAAGGTCAAGTGCCAAAAATGAGGCAAATGAAAACCTCCTGTAGTGTGCAGTTCAGATGAGTCTTTCACTTTACATATTTCTATCATTAGTCATGTTTTCATCTTCAGAACATCCAAATGCAGTAAATAGCCCAAGACCATAAAACAACTGCTATTTTTATTATCTCTTCTTATCATCCCAATTCACACTTCCTAGTTACTTGGAGAAGCTGGCTTATTTCTTCACTTTGATCTTTTTATACTGCTCTCAGCCCTACTGACATGGATGTGAGCCAGTATCATCCTGATTCGGGAATATACCCACTATGTTGAAATTAATCTCTGAAAATATTCTCTAATGAATGAGGAACTCAAGAAATGATTAGGTTTGGGTTTTTCCATTAATAAATAATCCACTGACAAAAGAAAAATATTTGCACATAATCTTCAGGTAGATTGAGCACATTTGTTTTCCACTGGGCCAATGCAGAGCTTGTACAGAAGGATGTGGCTCTGTGAATTTTTGTGGAGCTTTGACTACCAATGTAGCCCTCAAATTATTCCATGCTTTCTACATAGAGAAGCCTTTATCTGCAACGAAACAGTTAAGTACACCCTTAAATAGCTAAAATAAGGTTAAAAGGTATTTTCTAATGAGTTTAATCACGTGACTTGCATCATCTAAGTAGCTGAACACCTTCTAGGTTTCAGCAAATTCCTTCCACAACACTTGAATGAGTCAGGGGAACTATATTGGCCCTGTACTTCAAAAACTAATTCACATCTTCATACTTAAGTCAGATAGGTAATATGAGCTTATGCCTTCCAAACCTAGTGCCACTACCTCAGGCACTGAATTATGTTTTTCTGAAACTCCTGTATATATATATATATATATATATAAAGCATTTGAAGAATTCACTTAACATTTTTTTATTATTGTTCAAAGACTAATTATCTTGTTTTTCAGAGGAAAAAAACAGCATTGGCCAGCGTTTTTCTCAGCTGCAGGAGAATAATTTTAAAGCCATGTAAGTTGTCCAGATAAAAAGTCTACTTGCAAATTTGCTGCCAATGAACATCCCTGTGGTATTTTGTGTCATTTGGAAATGAACACATACAGTGAGTCAAACTCAAAAGACTTCTTCCACCAGCCCATGCAAACTCAGTCTGTGATGACAAAAATCACAGAATATGATCATCTTACTGTTTCACACTAAAAGTAATGTGATGAGTTTTTAGGCAGGCAGCAACATCTTTATCGCTCTGTGTTCTTGTAGTGCCATGATCATGTTTGCTCAGTACGTGCAAGGAAGCACATTCACCAAAGCGGTTAAAATGGCTGAAACTGTAACAGATCTTGCCAAAAGGTGCGCGGCTGCAGATGGAGACAACCCAGATTGTCTGAAGCCTTTGGTAAGCTTGTCCATACTTCTAATATGGCACAGACTTTCAAACGTGACTTATAATTTCAGAGTACTGGTACATATTTCTTCCGAAAAGGAACACATTATTAGGAGATGTGATTTATTTGTGTATAGATTTGCTTTTATTGACGTTTTTCCCTTGCCATGCTCTCACCTATAAGGCATCTCAAGATGAGTGGAGGAAAAAAATGTTCTGCCCCCACCATATATCACAGCAACTTTTGAATTACTTCATCTATATCTTTGTAAAAGATGGTTGCAAAGTTGTGCTTTTATGGCTAGTGTAAAAAAAAAAATAAACCAGTAGAGCCTAATTAGATGTTCCTAGCAAATATGATGCTTATAGATGTTTGTTCTACTCCATTAACTCACACTGCTAGTTTTTGGTGGCGTCTGCTCCAACACACTTTTGAGCTGGCAGATTCAATCACAAAACATGACTATCCGTCTGTGTTATGACACATTTCTATTTGTTAAACTTGGGTCTGAAGCAAACCCTGAATAAAAACAGTTCCCAGCTGACACATGACTGACAGCTGAACCTGAACATTGCTATTTTATGAACAAGAAACAAGGACTCATCAGCTGACTTTAATTAGAAAAGAATAAATCCTGCTATGTTAGAAACAACACTGTGCAAATCTTACCTATCATCTCAAATGTAATCAAGAAACAAGGGTCTGAATGTTGGTTTAAGTTCAGTGAAACCTGGACAGTGTGTTCCAAAACCACTTCACTTCAAAGTCTGTCTTGGCATAATAGTAGCTATCAGAGCGTGACATATCATTTATGTTTTAGAGGTCAGTCTGATATTCATTGCAGTCAAAGCAGGAGGAAAGAAAAAGAGAGAATCTATACATTTATGCAAGTGAGGGCTTGTTGGGTTAACAAGTCTCCCCAGAAAGCTCAAAAGAGTAAAATGGAATGCTCACACGCATCAACTTTTTTTTTCTAATTTTTCACAGGACAAGATTTTCCTCGATACAATATGCCAGGAGGAAAATCTTCCAAGGTTTACTGACTGCTGTGCTAAAAAGGACCCTGAAAGAAACGATTGCTTTCTCTCCCTTAAAAATTCATCAAGAGCATTCATTTCTCCTTTTGAAAGGCCAAATGCTGAAGCTGCCTGCAAAAATTATTCACAGAATCAACATTCGTTAACAGGATAGTAAGTAAATAAATCATAAATTCATTGCCTGGATATGATAATATCAAGCCTAGAGACCATAAATGCAGTACCAACCAAAAGTTCAATATGAGACTCTCTGTAATGCTATCTTCTTTTTCCTTCTTAATGAGAAACATTTGTATAATCCAGCCAGCTCTGATTATCCTTATGTGAACCTTGTTCGGCCACCTCCTGCTTTGAATATATGTCCAAATGATAAACAATATGACCTATTTCATTGTAGTTTATCCAGAGGGCTCATCTGGAAACCAAGGACCTCCCTTCAGTCCTAAAAAGGCAAGCAGATGTTTTGCGACCTCTAGGCCAGGACCATCAGGATTTGAGCACCTCATTTCTAGGAAAATGGTAGCCCCATCAGACTTTTTCCAGGATAAACACTGCACTATACAGCTAATAGTTTTGACAGGAAAACAGTCACTTTTAGTAGCTATTATTTTAATGTACTGGCAGATGCTACAATAACACTGCAGTCCCCTGTATGTGGGGGCTTATTCTGAAAGTAAAGACATTGCTCTCTGTTTTAGTTTCATCTATGAGATTTCCAGAAGGCATCCTTTCCTCTATGCCCCAACAATCCTTTCTGTTGCTATCCATTATGATGAGATGATGAAGGACTGCTGTAGAAGTGCCGAAAACCCCACTCATAACCTGGAGGAATGCTTTCGGAGACAGGTATGACATATCAGGGGTTTAGTTTAACAACATGTGAGCAGTGGCTTTCCCATAGCTAAACAAATGCCAAAGCAGGGCTATTGTCTGTTTCTTTTTCAGCATCTGCATCTGATGTTAGAATTCACCTTGTTAAGGATGGGCTGAAATCACACTTAAATGCTCTCTGAAATTATAGTTTAAATTTTTAAATGAAAATACCTGAATTGGGATGTTGGGTAGATGTATATGGAGCCAAGGGCAGTCCCCACACCTGCCATGGTATCAGTTCTGCCTTTGCTATGTGCACAACGTTTGTTGTAAGGATGCCTGGAGAGGAAGTGGTAGTATGCAGAGTGCAGAAATCTGTGGTGTGGTGTTTTTGTTTGTTCGTTTTTCCCTGTTTATAGCCCCATAATGATAGCGCATCACCTGCTTGGCCAAGTGTTTGCACTGTAGAGGTATGTTCCACATGTAACTAGAGTCAGAAATTCACAGCAACTTACCTTAACAGTGGAAAATAAGCATGGGAAACCTGCCCTTGCTGAATATGCCTTTCTTACGCTCTGGCTGGGCTTCCTGAGATGGCAGCTAATACCACTAACAAATGACAACTAACATTAGCTAATAGTAACACAAAGGCAGTCCTGTAGCTTCCAGGTGAAGATTTCTTCCCCACCCTAAAAATAATAAATTACTCTCTAGAAGGGTTCTAGTTTCCTTTCGCAGAATACTTATTTAATACATGCTGATGAGTAAATAGCAGGCACAACACTTAGTTCAGATTGCAGCTTGGACAGTAAAAGTCTTTCTATCACTAATTAAAAATCCCTCCTAAATAAATAAATAAAAAATCAGTAGTTTTACCCTAAAGCATTGTCTTGTCTTTTGTTCTGTTTTCATGGCCTTTAACATCTTTCTACCAGGCACCAAAGGTAGTGAAGCCAGTCAGAGAAGATGGCCTGAGGCAGGAACACACATGTGGAATTCTGAAGAAGTTTGGAGAAAGGACCATAAAGGCTCTGTAAGTCTTCCCTCTGCTTGCCAAACAAGGCTTGCATTTGTTTGCTTTGGCTACAGAACGGCCAAATTCATCACCAAGATGTAATGCTTTGCTACAGACACTCATTGCAATCCTTCCTGACTCCTTCTGTAAGCTCCATTTGGCACACACATATTAAAATAAAGCAGGGATATCACACACTAGCTTAAAAGTGAATCCACACCTGCACACAGTATGATGACCCCAAATACTGGCCACGTCATTTTTGTTTGCAGCTCACTAGCAGCATCTAACAAGGCGTACAGATTAAGAAGACAAATTTATGCATGACAGTAGCCACTGTTTCCTTAAAAGCTGCCATTAGCTTTCAAAAATTGAAAAACAAAGTTTGAAATTAACCAAGCTCTTTGTGATGAAAGAGTGATCGTGAGCACAGTACAGCCCAGCTCTAAAAACATAAGGTTATTCCTGTAATTTTATGTTCACCTACCACGTCTTTTTTATCTCACACTGTATTTCACTCAGCATCCTCAGGTAACTTTAAGTATCTCAGTTACCGGCTTCAAGGGACAATTTTTATCACCTTCAGTGGCAGCAGGAGCCGACCGTTTCTGATCAGTTTGCATAACGCCCTCTACAGGAAAATGGTGTGAACTGTCAGTCTCACGTTAATATAAGCAGTTACGTATTGTTTTTCATTCCAGGAAACTTGCTCAGATAAGCCAGAAATTTCCTAAAGCTGATTTTGTTACTGTTAGCAAACTTGTGATGGATGTTGCTAACATGCACAAGGACTGCTGTCGTGGAGATATGCTGGAGTGTATGCACGATAGGGTAAAATTCATTTAACTTTTATATGGTTGGAAAAATTAAATGTTTTTTTTTTTTTTTTTTCTTTTTCTCTCTCATGTGAGGTTCTGGTTGCTTGCCAAACCTGGAGTTTGTTTCTTCAGTCTAAAAATCTGCTTGACTCTCTCATTTGATTTTTCCAGCATCAAATCATCCAAAAGGGCAGAAAGAACCACTTTATGACTAAAATGACCTAACACTGCTTCAGTGCCATATATTTTCCATGCAACTTTCTGCAAGACATAATGTCTGCCTGTCCTCTGTTCCTTCTTTTCTTCTAACAAACCAATTCCATTTATCTCACTACTTGTCTGTGCTGTCTAGCTAGAGAGTTAACTTCTCTGTTTAGGTGGTTACCTAGCACCTATCAAATGGCAAGCAAGAGGCTTCAGCAAATAGAGCGAGAGGACTTCAGTCTTCCTTGTTCTGCTAGGTGACCATTGCACAGCATTGGCACCTCCTTTCTTTGGGCGTCACCTTCTCTGTCTGTAAAACAGGGATAAGAATACTGATCAAAAAAATAGAGACCAAAACACGATAACATTTCTTTCCTTTCTTTGTTTACCTTTCAGGAAGAGATTCTACACTATGTCTGCACCAACCAAGACATCATATCAAGTAAAATTAAAAAGTGCTGTGAAAAGCCACTGTTACAAAGAAGTGAATGCATAATTAATGCAGAAAATGATGACAAACCTGCGAACTTGTCCCCCCATGTCAGGGAGTTTATAGAAGACAAAGGAATATGTGAACGCTTTGCTCAGGAAAAAGATACGCACTTAGCCAGGTAACACATCTTCCTCTACCCTTCAATTTTGCTGTTTTGCTACTTTGGTCAAAAGGAGCCAGTTTGAAAGTTTAAGTTCAGCTTATTAGTCTCAGATGCCTGCTCTGTGAGCACGTGGGCGTGTGATACTGTACAAGTTTACCTGAGTGAAATACCACTCAAACGTGGAGGATATGGAATAGGAAAAAATGCTGAACAGGGCACAATGGTTATTTCAGAGAAAACTGAAGAAATGCATGTGAAAATTAGGCACTATCAGTTCTGATCTCAAGGTCAAAATATAGCTTTGATCCACTCTTAAATGAGAATTAAAAAACACTTATCTAAGTCAGGCTTATGTCTTGATCCAAACAGGTTTGATCTATTTCTGTTCTAGCCATATTCCTTTGTGTGATGATGCCCCGATCCTATTAGTATTAAACTTGGGCAAAAAAAAAAAAAAAGGCTGCAACAGAAACAGTATCAAGTCCCCAAGAAATAGATTGAGCACAACTACTCCAGATGAGGTGACTGCTTTTAGTAGAGTTTTTTTTTTTTTTCCTGTCTATTGATAAATGGCTTTGCTACTAGAAATTATTTTATCATCATTTAGGTAGGATTTAAAGAACAAAAATCCAAACCATACAAAGTCAGTCAGTTTTGATTTGGTTGAATCCCATGCTGTGATTCTGTGAAATTCTCCCCGTTACATGCAAGGTCAGATGAGACCATCCCAAAAGCACCCTGCTGTCCTTACCATCCCTGATCTCTTGTGGGCAGTTTTGTTTTATCTCTAATACCCACTACATACCTACTCCACATATTGCAGGTTTCTCTATGAATATTCCAGAAGACACCCTGAATTTTCTGCTCAAATGCTTTTAAGAATTGGTAAAGGATATGAGGACCTGCTGGAGGAGTGCTGCAAAACTGATTCTCCACAAGACTGCTGCAGCAGAGGGGTGGGTGCCATCATGCTTCACACAATACGTTGATGGTTACAGATACATGACCATAGGACTGGTTCTGGCTAAATAGTGACTATCCCTACTCCAGGTCTAGAGCAAGTACCCACAGTTCCTGTAGCAAACGTTGTGAGGCCCAAATGATTCTTGTACAGAAAAGCATCAGCAGAGCCATCACAGACTTCAGTGACTGGAGGCAGATAAGGGTTGCTGGGGAAATGAACGCGGCATTGCAGAGTGGGAGCAGGATGCACCCCTGCAGCAGCACCTGGAGGGACTGGGTTCCTCAGGCAGCCCTCTGCTTTCCTCCTGTGGTATTAACCTCACCCTGGGGAGAAGACTGGTAGATCAAAAGAGCTGGTAGGTGGGAAAGACTTCAGGCCCTCTGGGTCAAGACGAATTTTTTTTTCTGGGGACAGGACAAGAACCAACTCCTCTCTTGTTGCAAACATCAGCTAAGAGGTACCCAACCTCCCCTCCCTGAAGATGTTTTGTAAGAGACTGCATTGGTGCCACAGTGGTACACCAGTAATTTATAAGGAATATACAGACGTGCTGGGGGGATGGGTGGAGCTGGCATGTCTGTGAGCCACTACCTACTCTTTTTTAGGCTCCCTTGCAGTAACAGTTGCCCTCTTGCAAATGTCAAAGACCCTTGTGGTTATTGTCTCAGATACAGACATTTAGCATTGTACTTGTCTGCAGTTTGGAGCCACCCTGAGTTTCAGACCTAGCTTTCCGTCCATTATACAGAATTTAATGAAGTTGTTTCAATTGGACAATAGTCACATTCAGGCAGTATAGAGGTTGTAGACAGATAAAGACTTCTCATGAAATTAAAAATTGGTGGTATGTATCAGGCGAGAGGCAGCCTTAGATATCAAGGCCTCACCATCAGGCAGTAGGGCATTCTGCATTCCCCCTGAGAAGTGACTCCTTAAACTAATTTCTTTTCCTCAGGAAGAAGAACTGAAGAAACACATTTATGAAACGGAAAGTGTGATGAAAACAAGCTGTGACATTTACAAGGAGAAAGGAGACTACTATTTCCAAAACGAGTATTCCTTGATTTTATTTTATGCGTATATTATTGCTGTACCAGCTGGCACAACTCAGGCTGGAGTAAATCCATGTATGGCAAAAAAGCTAGGCTAAATGGCACCACTAGAATGTGTGGTCCAATACGTTAATTGCTTTTAAGATTACATTAATTACTTTAAAGACTTTTTTTTATTTTCTGAAACAATGTTCTTGCTTCTTATGGGTTCTGTCCTTATCCAAACTCCTGAGGCAGTGAAATGACAACTTATTCTATCTCGCACCTATGTTTCCTATGACTATTTTGGTTTATAGTTGCATTTTGAGGTATGAGCTCCAACTTAAGAGTTGTAATTTTGGCCAAAAGGCAGTTGCTGCATCTTTTGCAAAAGACTTTGCTCTCAATCTCCTGCAGCAGATGTAAATATTAACAATTGTAACAAGATTTAACTACAGGAGACAGAATGAAACCTGAGTAGCTTAAATGTATGCTGCGCTTAAATGCAACATGCAGGCACAAGCCTCTTGGAGGAACTCTGGCCCTGATATGCAAGGTTAATGAGCACATGCCTAACGAAGTATGTAAGCAACCTCAATGAAATCTGTAAACTGCTTGCATACTTAAAGTTAGGCTTCTGCTGTCTTACTCTGGGGAGATAGAGCAGGCTATTTGTACTCCTGGGCATGCTTGATCTTTAAGAGACCTTAGGAGTTCCAGGTTTCCAATAAATCTGGTATGCTACTTCTGCCTATTTAACAGTTGCTATGGTTCTCCTGGCCATGATGGCTAATAAGCATATTTTTAAAGAAAAAAAAAAAAGTGAACTTTTTTGGAGCTAATCTTCTATCCTGATTTAGTCTGTCAGTAAGTCACTTGAGTTCAATTTGGCTTTTAAACAAGATCCCTACATTCAAAGGAAGTGAATAACACAGGAAAAGTATACGTACCGTTTCGTAAGAGGGCTCACCAACATATAAATGACCTTCTTACCATTAATTTTACTTAACCTGGTAAGAGATTGGTCAGAAGGAAAGATCTCCAACTAACGGAGCATGCTTATACTTGCCTACAGGAGTTATAAACACCAGGCTCCGCCCTGCCCTTGTATGAATGAATGTTTTTCTGTGGGGTTTGGCTGGAGCTTTATTCATGTGAAGGCAGTGGCTTGCTCACTGCTGCCTGGTGGAATCAAAAGCACCAATAACAAATCAATTATAATTTCAGGCTTCTCATGAGCTTCACCAAGAAGATGCCTCAGCTAACATCTGCAGAGCTAATAAAATTCACCAAACAAATGACTACAATCGGCTCCAAATGCTGCCAATTAGGCCAGGACAAGCTATTGCCTTGTGCTGAAGAAAACGTGAGTAATTTTTTTCCCCCTCATCTTTCTCCTACCTTTTCTGTGACAATTCCCGCTACTAGCAGGGTCCAAGAACTTACAGTACCAGTAAATGAGCAAAAGGTTGACTCAGGTACTGAGCTGCACTGATGGTGTACTACCAGGTACACAGCTGAAGTAAGCATAATGCAGTGTCACTGAAGTTAATGCTTGAATGATGCTCTGTGAGGATCAGGAAATTGTCATGCCAGCGCTAAGCATTTAACAGTTTTGCAGTACAGGCAGACTGACCCTGTTCTCTCTGGAGCTAATGATCTCATCCGAGAGATGGTTATTTCTAGAGGAATCATTCTTTCCAGATGCCTGAAGCCATACTGCTCTATGAAAGTGATACATTTTGTGCAGCTCTTCCATAGTGTTCTCCAAGCCCATAAGTCAAAACACATAAGCTTCAGCCTGTACCCAGCCATCATTTGTGAAACCTTATGTTTACAGGAACAGTAGAACATACCCACAAAACCTGCTGATCAATACACATCAAAAGGAAGCACCATTTTATGAAGAAATCACATAATACCTATGCACAAAGAACAGTCTCTAAAACTACATATATATATTCTGATAAATATGAACCAGTTTTCCACTAACAAAAGACAGCATTCAGTAGAAAAATAAACTTAGATCTCATAAACAAAGCTTAATTTAAATTCTTGTTTATTATTTACAACTTTACTAAGAGTGGTTTATTTCAGAGAAGAATAGAAAATAAAGCAATGACATAAGATTGTTTTTTTTTCACCTCTTTTGGTAAAGCTGGATCTTGTGCTTGGAGAAATATGTAGAAGACACCTAACCAACCCAATAAACCCCGGTGTTTGCCACTGCTGTAGTAGCTCCTACGCTCTTAGGAGGCCATGCATGGGGAAACTAGAAATTGATGAGAATTATGTGCCCTTATCATTGACTCCTGGTCTGTTCACTTTCCACGAAGACTTGTGTACAACAGAAGAGGAAAAGTTACAGCACAAGAAGCAGGAGTAAGACATGCCTGTTTTACTGTTCCCCGTTTCTTATTCTCATCCTGGCAATGCACACCGACATGTTTTTCGAACTGTTTTGCTTTCCTCTCATGTTTATCGTGGTTTCTTTTCCTCTCTAGTTCAACCTATATTTACCTGCCTTTGATGAAAGAAAGTCATTTTCAGAGGTGGGAATCTGCACTGGTGTATACACCACCAGAATGGAAGCACCAGGTGCCTAAAGTTAATCCCTTGCACCGTCCTTTACAGGAGCTGCACAAGACACAGTGTAAAAACATAAAAAAGAAAAAAAACAACTCTTTGAGCTCAACTTGTGCTATGGCAATCCCATACTGCCTCGGACCCTCTGGAGTGGTACACAACACAAACCAGCTGTATGTATTTATAGGCATTCACAGTGGAACAACTCCAAAAATGAGCATTGCCACTTTTTTTTCCCCACAGAAGAATGAGGCACATACTGACTCCCCACTGCAAATACCTACCTGAGTGGTGGAAAAAAAAAAAAAAAGCTATAGAAAGCAAGTGGGCAATAAGAAAGACAAGATTTTGCAGGAGTAGTGTTTGAGAAGTGGTCCTAATCCGTGTGCCTACCCTTCCAGGTTCACAGTGCTTTCTTTGCTTTTCTTGCAGAATGCTCATCAACCTCATTAAATACAAGCCCCAGATCACACAGGAACAGCTGACCTCCGTCACTGCGGCTTTTACTGCCATGAGGGAACAGTGCTGCAAAGAAGAAAACCGCGAAGCATGTTTTGTGAAAGAGGTATTGTTTCTGTTTTCACCTTTATATTCTCAAAGTGAAAATATACACAAAAGTGTAAATTTCTCCATTAAGCAACAAAAGCAAAGCCTGACTAGCCAGAATTCCTTTGGTTCTATTTCTAAAGACCAACGTTATTGCCTGCACAGGTAGATAGGCATGTCAGTTTAGCTGTGCATGACTGCTAGAGAACATAGCTAGTTATCCTTGTGTTTCTGTGTAGCAATTTATAGACACAGAACTCAGCTACATCTATTGCTACTGGGGAATCACTGGGACTTGGCACTTGTCTTTCCTATGTTATTTTAGCTTATTGACATTCATAACGCAGAGCTACCTTGGTTTCTCTCTGCCTTTCAGTAAACCTGCTTTTCCTTACTTCTCATCTCTGATATATTCCTTAAGATAAACTGAAATTTAACATGTTTCCCACAACCCTTGAGGCTTACTCCCTCTCTTCTAAGTCTTTGCATTACTTTGCTTCAAATGATCAAGTACAGAAAAACCTTACTTATGTAAAAAGTTTCCACCTCCACGTCCACCCAGCCTATCATCCAGAAAGAATCATCCTTCTACTTAATAAAGCTGTATTTCAGTATTTTTCTACCAAATGCCAAACCATCTAAGGCAACCTGAGCTGAGCAGTAAAAGCAAAATGTATATTAAACAGTGTCATATGTATATACACACTGTATATACAGTGCTTGTACACAACTTGCAGAGATTATAAAACATTAATGAATTGACTTACTGCTCTTGTACACATGTAACTTGTTCGCAAGTACATTACCTTCCCTATTTCATTGATAATATTCACTTTTTTTTTCAGGGTCCAGAACTTATAAAAAGAAGTGAAAAAATGTTGTCAGCATAAAGAGCTCACATAGCATATTGGAAGGTATTTGCTGAAGGTTAAGGAGTCGCACAAATTTAACCATGAGCATATCTTTTCTAAATATTCATGAGGTATAAATAGGAACATAGGTGTTGTTATAGTGGAGAATACTGTGTTGTGGCTCTTTACTCATAAACCTAACAAAGTCATGATAACTTAGACCTGCTACAGTTCTGCCACTGTTTGATTTTCCACTGTGAACAAGATAAAAAGGGTGGCTCAAGTAAAATATCAAATTTCAGAAAGAATATTATGAGATATAAAATTGTAAATCTCACCTTCCTGCAGAGCTCAGCTTAACTGAAAATTAAGTATATCAATTTCATTCAGATGGGGGAGAAATTCCTGTTCAAACTTCATATCTGGCTCGTAACACTTTGATTCGAAATAATTGAGGTTATGTAAAACCAAAACAAGTAAATTAAAACTAAATTAAGTCTAAAAAGAAGCATCATGTTAAAGAAATTTACTAAAAGTTAACTGGATGGAAATTGAGGTTTTAATTTTTTCCATCATCCTATGCTAAAGGATACTATTTTCCTTGTATGAAATAGTAACAGGAAAAAAAAAAAGTTTCAAATCTTACACAGCATAAAGACAAAAGTTTGAGAAAATCTGTCTGCAACCATTTTTCAACTGTCTGTGAAACACAAAATAATTGTTTTAGCATTTTAAAAGCAATGTCTTTGAAATACAACACATTCGTTCATTAACTCTGCTGTATGGGAATTGTAAAATTGCTTTTAAGCACAGAAATATGTTATCTTGGGCATCTCAAACAGAAAGGAAGAGGACAGATGAGCAAAAAGTCATGGAAAAAGAACATGAAATGCTGAAACTTAGTTAACAGACAAGTACTTAGAGAAAGCACTGGAAGAATGAAAAACTTACATTTGAGGTGATTTTACATTCAAACAGCATTTGAGTTTTTATCTTCCTTTTGCTTAAAAAGAAATAAGAGGGCATGTTAAAAATCCAAAGTCAAAACAGTATTAAAAGAAATAAATTTTTCTGGAAACCTTGGTCTTGAAGCAAAAGATTACCATATAGGAGATCCTTTTCATGAACAAAAGAATTAGAAGTAGTTATCAAATGAGCATCTGAAAAGGTTAGTAAAATAAAGAAACATTCACCAAACAAATCTTTTTTAAAATGTAAACCTGAAGTACAGAGATTGACCAAATGATGTCCCATCAGAATCCATCCTATATACATGTATACTCCAGGCAATATTTTCCTTAAAGACACAATAAAAGGCAAACTAATCATTTAATTTGTGTCTGACAACAGGGTGTACAGAGATGGTTGCAAATCCCTTTGCAATGATTTTCATGTCAAAATCATCTTGGCAAATTACAGCAATAGCCTAGAAAAATAACAGCTATGTTCTACGAGGACAAATTTAACATGACAAAAATATGATTAAGCAACCACACTGGCACAGAACAGGTAAAATACACATTAGGGATTTGCATAGATAACAAATGCAGTTAACAACAAATCACAAGCTGACCAAAGACACTGATATCTTGTGGCTAACTGAAGTCTAATGTTGTGCTTGCATAGTAGGAGCATAAACAGTAACAACAGAAAAAACAGACAAATAAGATACATGACATACACATCATATTTTTGTTTTCCTCACGCTTGGTAAGGACTTTGCTGGAGTACATGTAATAGAACAAGTCTTGGGTCTCTCACTTGTAGAGTGATATATAATAGTTAAACATTGGAAAATAATGGAAAATAATGGTTAGCAGTCAAAGATCCAGAAAGAATGTAAAAGGAAAGACAGAATAGAGTGGAGTTTTGTAGTGTAATAAGGAAGGCTGCAAGAACTTGAAAAATACATCAAAAAACTCAGGTCCCAAGACAAAGAAAAGCCAATCATCAGCACCCAGTACAGAGAAAAAATATAATTGACATTCTGAGAAAAGTGGGATGCTCCGAAGGAAAGCGACATACTTAACACACACAATTCAAGTGCCAATTATGTCTTCAGTCAAAAAAAAAAAAAAAAAAAGAAACAAACCACAACAAAACAATAGACAATAGGCAACCATCTTAAGTTTCTCTTAGTGTAGTTTTCTCGGGGAGTTAACGTTCCGATAAAGGTCAGTCTTCTGGAATTTTTGGGCGTGGCTTTGGGAGGTTGCTTTTGTATTCCTCCTCAAGGACTGGACTCATTCACTGACTTAGTTCCAGTGATGACTTAAGATTTTTCTCACTGGCTAGCTTAGTAGTACTAAAATCACATCAATTTTTTTATTCTGTTGTCCTTTTTGATAATGTCTTAGACCCCGAATTAAACATAAAAACCACACGCATATTTCCTCCATCATGTTTCTTATTGCTGTTACCTTGAATATCCAGTACTGCTTTGGAATAAATTCTTCTGCTGTTCTTGTCTGTGTTTGTCAGAAACAATTCATTAAAATGGACACAGTATTCACAAAACTCACACCACTGCAATGTAGTAGCTTTTTTTTTTTTTTTTTTTTTTTTAACTATTGCTTGAAATCCAACAATTTACAGGTAATCTGTGCTAGGTTTCATTGTTATTTTTTCAGTATCTTTTAGTCCCAATTCAGCAAGACAAGTGACCTCAATGGGATCCTAGTATCTAGCACCAGATGACTACAGAAATGGTTCCACTTAGGAAATGTGTATATACAGACAGGATTGGAGAGTCTGTTTGCAAACACTTTTCCACATGGTCAGTGCACTGATCCTATTTTTATTTTTTCACATCTCAGACCAAGTAGTTACATTCATAAAACTACAAGCATTTACCAAGTGAAAACACCTAACAGAAGTAGCCTATTTACATAAAAACCTTAAATACTTTTTTTTCTGGTTAAAATGATGAGCATTACAGCAGTGCAGGCAGAGGGGTCTACATCACTCACAGTTTCATGAGAGCAGGCTAGACTTTCCCTGCCCATTAATTTGAGCTACCTGAATATTGCTCTGTATGTGATTTCTGACTTGTTCCTTACAGTAAGTTAGGTAGAACAAAGCCTGAAATCCAGACCAAGAGGTCTGCTCCTGTGCTGACTTTGGCACCATTGCTAGTGTCTCAGTATGGCCAGCTGGTGCCAAAATACACCAAAACCACCTCAGTGCATGACTCGGCTCAGACTACCAACATCTGCTTGGTTTTGGATGAGAACAATACTTGACCGTGGACTAGTTTAGATGTCATTGAAATTTGAGCTTACCTTGCAAGTCCAACCTGTGATGTTTTATGGTCAGCTTCCTATCTCCCATAATTTGGCTAATCAATATTTGAATGGTTTGCTTGGGTAATTTCAGTGACATTTGTGTATATACATCTGTTGCTGCAAGGAACTGATATTTGTACAACTAGGGCAACTCTTTATACCATGCATCTTGACTACAGAATTATTTTTTTTTCTCCTCTCAGTCATTTTTCTGGGCAGGATTATAATAGATTGTACAAGTAAAGTAAATTAAAGTAAGTATCTGCCCCAAGCACAATAGCTTAATTAGCAAATTGATGTCTCATTTTTGACTTATCATCCAAGTAACATCACCTCAAGTGGAGTACAGATTTTCATTCTTGATTTATTCCACAATTTCTAGACAACACATTCTGCACACCAGTTCTCTCAAAGCGTTTATGCTGTTACCTGCATAAGCCCAGCACAGCTGATGTAAAATACAGGCACCACATAAAAAAGAAGCTACTACAGGAAGGCACTTAATTGTGCACAAATTGGATTTTATTTACACCTCTACAATTTGAACTTTACCATTCAGCGTAACTCAAACAGACAGGACCCGACAGGTGACTGCTGTATGCTTGAGCACCAACCAGACAGTCCACAAATTGCATCTGCAGAAAGATGCCAACCCCATCCTATCATGGCTGTGACATTCAGCCTCTCTCACTTAACTCTTTTTCTTTCTGTCTTTGAATCAAAACAGCAAATAACATGGAATAATTTGTCTCATCAAAAAAAAAAACAAAAAACAAAAAACAAAAAAAAACACACACTGGGGTACATTCCAGCACCCTGTCAAGCAGATACCACAGCACTTAGTGAGAGTTCTTACTCTGCAGCTTAAGATGGACACCAGAGACACATTCACTCATACATTTAAGAGCTGAGTACCAATAAATTGGGAGAGCTTCTCTTTGTATTTTTAAAACTTGTGCTCAAAGTTTATATGAGTTAGGTATCTACCAGTCTGAAGCCAGGGGACTATCAGGTCTCTCTTGTGTAGGTGTTTCTGTAAGCTAAGTGAAATGCCTAGCTGCAACCTTAGATACATAAATACCTTTTTCCATGTAACTCTACTGAACAGCTTCCTCCTAATAAAATTTAACATTTCTGTAATAGAAGAAAAGCCACTTTAATTTTTCACTATTTTCATTTTTTTCCATTTTTTTTGTTATGATTAGCAGATTAGTTACTGCAACACTTTGCATGTATACTAGACTCTCAGCAATGGTTTAGAAATTACTAGGTGGTAAATAAAGCCTTGTGCTTTCCAGGATGGGATTTTTTCCCTATCTGCAGTTTCAAGTTAGATTCAGCATTTGCCTTTTGGACAATTTAGTGCATCTTCTTAGGTGGTTCGCAACTTGTATTCCAGAGCCATACTGGAGCATATGCAGTTTCAGTTGCATGATTGTCAAAAGAAACACTTTGCACATCCGTGTGCTCTCTGTCTTCTTCAGCCACGGCACATTCAAGAAAGCACACAGACTTTCCTTTGCCAACAGCAGTGGGTGGTATTCGCAATACGCCACGTGCATCAAACAGTAGTCTCTGTTTTTTTAACAGTTCGATTTTGAAGGTGCTGTTTTATCATTTGCTTCTCTTTAAGGTATCTGGGGGAGAGAGGGAGAGAGAATGCATTTACTGACAGAATGCTTCAAAAATTAAACCCCAATTTTA